GTGTTCGCCCCTGCTGCTGAGTGTGCGCTGAGAGGGCAAACCCGAAGAAGTCCCTGGGAGCAGAGCTGTCCTCAGGGAGGGAGGGGGCAGGGGGCAACCTGCACCTGTCATGCCGCAGGTGACCCGTCGCACGGCCCGGATGGTGGCCGAGTGGCAGTGTGTGGGCTTCTGCCACGGCGTGCTCAACACAGACAACATGAGCATTGTGGGGCTCACCATCGACTACGGGCCCTTCGGCTTCCTGGACAGGTGAGCAGCCCGGGGCCAGCATGTGGGTGCCCATGGCGCAGGGACCACTGGGGAGGGATCAGCTGTCCTCGATACTTGGTTGGAAATGCCTGGTCAGCCCTTTCCAGCAGCAGAAATCCCCTGGAAGGTTTGGAGCAGAGCGGCATTTTCAGAGGGTCCCTCCATTCCCGGACTGGGAATGGACTCAAGGGGCCAGGGCGGGAACAGGCAGCGAGCAGGAAGGAGGGACGTTGCTGGCCAGGGACAGTGGGCTGAGGCAGCGCCGCGCCCCCCGCCGACTGAGCGAGTGGGAGTCAGCCGCGGCGCCTGGACCTGCACCTGTCAGAGCTGGGCCCCTGCGAGGCAGGGCAGGAGGGCAGTGGCCACATGGACGTGGCCTCTGGGCACCCCAGGACCTGCCTCATCCCCTTGCTGACTCCCCTCACCCCGTGTGGCAGGTATGACCCTGACCACGTGTGCAACGCCTCCGACAATGCTGGACGCTATGCGTACAGCAAACAGCCCGAAGTTTGCAAGTGGAACCTGCAGAAGCTGGTGGAGGCCCTGGAGCCCGAGCTGCCCCGCGAGCAGGGCGAGGCCATCCTGGCCGAGGAGTTCGACCCGGAGTTCCGCCAGCACTACCTGCAGAAGATGCGCAGGAAGCTGGGCCTGGTGCACGCCGAGCTGGACGAGGACGGAGCGCTGGTGGCCAAGCTCCTGGAGACCATGCACCTGACTGGTGAGTGTGGCTAGGGGGTCTGTGCCACACTGGTGGCCCGGCGTTTTCGTTTTGGTGAAATAGACACAACATAAAATTGACCATTTTACCATGAGGTGTGCAGTTTGGGGGCACTAAGCACATTCACCCCGCTGTGCACCCGTCCGTCTCCCCACACGGACACCCTGTCATTTCCTCCTCCTCCTGCGCCCCTGGTGCCCCCGGTCTACTGTCTGTCTCTGGATCAGACTCCTGCAGGGACCCCTGTGAAATGGGCCCGTGCAGGATTCGTCCTGTGACAGCTGACAGTGCCGAGGACAGTGTCCTCAGGGTCCACATTCTGGGCCCTTGTGTGGACGGACCACACTTTGCTCTTCCGTCAACGATGGATGCACACTGGTGGTTTTTCCCTTTGGGCTGTTGTGGACAACAGCGCCAGGAAGACAGATGTGCAGACATCTGTTTGAGCCCCTGCTTTCAGTTCTTTCGGGGCAGCGTGGCAGAGCGGACTTGCGGATCTGACACGGAGCTTCCAGTACTGTGGTGAACGGAAGCAGCTGTGTGCACAGCCACCTGCCGCTCCTGCTCTTAGGCGGGCTCTACCTCTTTCACAGCCTATGGCTGTGGCTTTTTCAGATACGGCTTTCACGAAATCGAGGAAGTTTCCTTCTATTCCTAGCTTGAGTGTTTTGGCCATTTTGCATCAGCTGAGATGAGCACGTGGTCGTACCCCTCCTCCTCACTTCGTGTCCTTAGTCAAGTTAAACCGCCATAAAAAACCAGAGCGGCAGCTTGCCCAGCAGACACTGACTTCTCACAGTTCTGGAGGCTGGGGGTCGGAGGTCAGGGTGTGGTGTGGTCAGGCTGCTGGCGAGGGCCTCCTTCCCTGGCAGAGAGCCGAGAGGGAGCGAGGGCGCAGACGCCCCCGGAGGCCCCCACGGTCCTTACCGGGACGCTGCTCTGTGGGGTCTTTCGCTTGGGTATCCAGGCAACGCTGAGTTAGGAAATGTTCTCTCCTGTTTTTTGGAAGAGTTTGAGAAGGACTGGTGATAATTCTTCGATATTTGGTAGAACTCAGCAGTGAAGCTATCTGGTCCTACCATTGTCTTTGTTGGGAGGGTTCTGATGGCCCATTCAGTCTCCTCGCTTGTTATAAGGCCACTCTGATTTTCTACTTCTTCCGAGTCCACTTTGGTAGGTGGTGTTTCTAGGAATTTGTCTGTGTCATCTCCGTATCTGATGTATCAGGGTGGAACTGTTCAGTCTTCTCTTTGAGTGCTCTTCCTGTGTGGTCCGTAGTCACAGCCCCACTTTCATTTCTGATTTTAGTTACGGGGCAGTAGCTAAAAGTTTGTCAGTCTTGTTGATCTTTTCAAAGAACCAGCTAACTCTTGGTTTTAGTGGTTTTCGCTTTTTTGTTCTCTGTTTCGTTTATTTCTGCTATACCCTCTATTTCCTGCCTTTCGGCTAGCCTAAGTCTTACTTTGTTTTCTTTCAAGTTCCTTAGGTATAAGATTAAGTTACTGGTTTGAGGCTTTTTTCCCTTTGAGATTTAACAGATATGTAATGGTGTCAGGGGTATGTGATTCACTATTTGTAGAGATCGCAAAACTGTCGCCTTCCATCACCACACAGTTGCAAATTTCTTTTGGGGGGGGGATAAAAGAGGTCTGCTCTCCTAATGTAGGTAATTAGCACCATAAAATTCTCTCTGACCACTGCTTTTGTGGCATCCTATAAATTTCAGTATTTGTGTTTCCACATTTTCCTGCCTCTAAGTATTTTCTGATTTCCCTTGTGATTTCTTTTTGGACCCATTGGTTAATTTTCACAGAATCTGGGGATTTTCCAGTTTTCCTTCTGTTTGTGATTTCTATTTTCATTCCACTGTGGTTGGAGAAGATACCCGTCTTTTTAAGCATATTGACTTGCTTTATGGCTGAACAAGCGGTCTGTCCCGTGTGCACTTGAGAAGACCGATGTCTGTCTGATGGAGCAGCCTGACAGCGTTCGAGTTCCCCGTGTCCTCACTGGTCTGCCGTGCGGACGTTCCATCCATTATCCAAAGTGGGGCGCTGAAGCCTCCGGCTCCTACGGGGAACTGTTCTGTTTCTCCTTCCATTTTACGAATGTTTGGTTTGTATGTTTGTAACCGTTACATCTTCTTGATGAACAGGCTGTTCGACACATAAAGTCCTTGTCGTTTGCAGGTCTCTTGCTGACAGCGGTAGGGCCGGCCCCACTATGCAGGTTACTGTCTGCTTGGGATATTTTTTCTGTCCTTTCCCTTTAGGCTCGACAAGTTGGAAGTACTTCAGTTCAAGCTGCCAGTCTCATTTGGAGATGAATCCATTTAAAGTCATTACTGATGAGGACGTCTGTTGTTTCGCTATTTGTTGTCTGTGTGCTCTGCCGTTTTTCATCCCTCATCTCCTCCATTCCTGCTTTTGTGTCTCTGTTCTGGTCCCTTCTCGTTTCCCTTTTGTGTCTCTTCCTGGGACGTTCTCCCGGGGTTACAGTGACTGTTTTAACAAGTCAGGCCAAGGACCTCCCCGCATCTGTTCTGTGTTGAGCCCTGTTTGTTTGGAAGTGTTTCAGGGGCTTGTCCTTGACGCTCTGCAGCTCAGATAGGCAGTGGGGACTATGACCACAGTGGGGGTGGCCAGGGGCTGACCTCGGTGCCTGTGCCGTAGTTACCTGTTTCACGGATGAAGGAACGGGGGCTTGGAGTGGTGGCCAAGCTGGGTGGCAGGTGGGTGGGGACTGTTGAGGAAGCTGGAGGGGAGGGGTCAGGAGCCCCTGGGCCTGGCAAGGCGTCTACACTCGGCGTGGATGGTGGTGCAGGAGGCAGGTGCAGGGCCCTGCCTCTGCCTGCCAGCACCCTGAGCAGTGGCATGTTCCAGGGGCCGACTTCACAAACACCTTCTACTTGCTGAGCTCCTTCCCAGTTGGGCCAGAGTCCCTGGGCCTGCCTGAGTTCCTGGCCGCGCTGACTGCACAGTGTGCCTCCCTAGAGGAGCTGAAGCTTGCCTTCCGACCCCAGATGGATCCCCGGTGGGTACCCAGGTCTCACTTCTTGGAATGTGCTTCCAGAAGGGGACGACCATTTAGAACAGAGCACTCCAGGGAACAGAAGAGGGAGCTGGCTGAGGCTCCTGGGGAAGGGGGCGGTCAGGCCCTCGTCTCTGCAGCGCTGAGGCCCACTGGTCAGAGGGAAGGGACAGCATGTTGTCACCACTGGGGGAGGCCAGTGGCACAGCTGGGGAGCAGCTTCCCAGAATGGCTCTCTTGTCTGCCCAGGAAGAGCCCCGGGGCCCTCAGGTCTCAGCCAGACCAGGCTTTCCTGCGCCGCCTCCCACTGGGAAGAGCACACAGTGTCTGAGCCCACACCCAGAGTAAGACACGGGAAGCGCTGTGGTTTGAGAGAATTTAGTGCCACAGGGTGGTGAGTGCTGATAGAGGACAGGCTAGTAGGACCAGGGAAGGGGGTGTTGGTGCTGTCCCTGCCCCGCCCCCAGGCCCTTCTGCAAGTGGGGAAGGACCCGGCCTTGTGGCCACCGTGGAGAAGCGGCCAGCAGTGACCTCCCCTGGGGGGAAGCAGGTGCCACATGCACCCCGGGGGCCCGCAGGTCAGCTGCGGCACTGCCCCCCAGGGCACTGCCCCTCGGCTGTCCTGTGACCAGGAGGGGCTGCCGCAGAGCAGGGGGAACGGCTGCCTCACCGGTCGGGCCGGATCACCCCCTCGCGGGGCAGTCAGCAGTGGCACAGCAGAGCTGCTAAAGCCACTGCCACCTCCCCCGCGCCTGACAGCCATCTTCCAGGTGCCCAGTGGCCTCAGGACACAGCCCCCGGCCAGGGGCGGGGACGCGCCTCACGCTGCCCCTCTGCACAGGCAGCTCTCGATGATGTTGATGCTGGCACAGTCCAACCCTCAGCTCTTCGCACTCATCGGCACCCGGGCCAACGTCACGAAGGAGCTAGAACGTGTGGAGCAGCATTCACGGTTGGAGCAGCTGAGCCCGGCTGAGCTGCTGAGCAAGAACAGGGGCCACTGGGCTGACTGGCTCCAGGCGTACAGGTGAGGCTCCAGGCGGCCGGGCGCGGACTGCTCGCATCGCCCTCTCCCTGGGAGGTGGCTGCGGACGACCCCCCAAGCAGGGAACCAAATGCAGGAGGGGTGCGGGGGCGGCATCTGCCGGAAAGATGAACTTGGATGATTCCAGAACCCGGCTGGAGAAGGACAGGGAGGGCGTCAGTGACGAGGATGCCTGGCAGGCAGAGCGCACGCGCGTCATGCATGCCAACAACCCCAAGTACGTGCTGCGGAACTACATTGCCCAGAATGCCATCGAGGCCGCCGAGAACGGTGACTTCTCAGAGGCAAGCACACACCTGTCCCTCCTCCATCCCTGGGTCCAGCAGCAGGGGATGGCCTGGGGAGCGAGTGGCAGCCCCTAAAACTCCTCTCCTATGGCCCTTCTCCAGGTGCGGCGGGTGCTGAAGCTACTGGAAACCCCTTACCACAGGGACGGGGAGGCCACCGAGGTCCCGGAGGCCACTGAGCCTGAGGGGGCTGACGGGGCAGACAGTGGGGGGCACTCCTACAGCAGCAAGCCCCCACTGTGGGCGGCCGAACTGTGCGTGACGTGATCCTCGTAACGGCCTTGGAGGCCTCCACACGTGGAGCCCCCAAGGCCCCAAGTCCCACCGAGTCCTTGAGGCGGTGCGCACCCTGTGGACAACCCCTGCCTCTCCATGACGGCCGAGACGTCCAGTCAGGCCCTGACCCGTCTCTGTCTGACGCAGACTCCGCAGCCCAGCCCCACGCTCACTGCACTCCCTATAAAAGCCGCTTTGTGCAAGGGCAGGAGCTCAGCAGAGGGAAGCAGGCCTGGGGTGGGGTGGAGAGGGGGAAACAGTGGCCCCAGCCCACCTTGCTGGCCTGGCTCCTGCCTACCGGGGACATGTGGCCCCCAAATAAACCAGCAGCTTTCCTGGCCAGTCTCCATGTGGTGACTCTGCCCCTGGCCCACCATCGTGGGCACCCGGGGCAGTGGGGGGGGGGGGGAGGGAAACGGCACCTGTGTCACGTGGCCTCAGGCATCCTGATAGTAGTTGTTGAAGTTGATGCGCAGCAGGAAGTCCTCCAGGTGGGGCTGGTAGCCCCGGTTCACCAGCTTGGTCACCACTGGGGGGGGGGGGGGGTGCCGCTCAGCCAGGCCCACCCGGTGGCCTCTGCCCTGCTGTCCCCAAGCCCTCCCGGCCCTGGGGGACAGGCACCTTTAAAGAGGAAGTGGGAGTAGTACTTGAAGGTGCTGTAGGACTGCTGCATGAGAGCGAAGTTAGGGTGCTCTGCACCCTGGGGGCCACCAGCCGGGACCCAGGGCTGGGAGATAAGCTGGCTGCGGAACTTCAGGACAAGGCTGAAGATGCTGTGGATGACGTTCATGACGGGTGCAGCCTTCTCTGTCAGCAGGCCCCTGGGGGGGGGAGCAGGCAGCTGCTGGTGAGGGGCACCCGACCCCCTCTGCACGTGCCCAGGGAGCAGCCCCAGGCACAGCGGCTCACCTGAAGACAGCCTTGTGCAGGTACTCCGCATGCGCACGCTGGATCTCCTCCAGGTCGCCCACCTGCGCCAGCCGGGCTCGGAACTCACACCAGGTAACATGCAGGATCTGGTTGGCGATGTAGCCCTGGGTGACTTTGACAAAGTGCTGCATCTCGTGCTTAAACAGCTGCAGCTGGCGGAACTGCACGGAGCCGGCCGCGTGGCTCACCAGAGCTGCGGGGGCGCAGAGGGGTCAGCCGGGCCCCAGCCGAGGGCAAGCCTGGGCTCTGGGCCAAGCCTCACCTGTGCGCTTGAGGTGGAAGCAGATGTCCTTGAGCGTCCACATCATCAGCTTCAGCTGCAGCAGGAAGGAGAAGATGCCGCTGTACCTGCTCAGGCAGCCCTCGGTGACCACGATGTTGAGGGGCCAGTCGACCTGCGGGGAAGCGGGCTCAGCACACCCTGCAGGGGAGCCCCCGGCCCGCCCACTTGGCGGCACCCTGCTGACCTTGTACCTGAGCTCCAGGCAGCTCAGCACGTCCGGGGCGTTGGGGGCAAACGCCTCGGGCAGGAACTTGAGGGCGAAGGAGAGGTTGTCCGCGTAGGGGGTGTCCCCGTGCAGACTGTACTGCAGGGCCTTGCTGAGCACGGAGTTGAGCACCAGCGGGTTGAGCAGCTCCCCGGGCGTCTGCCCCGCCCCCAGCTGGCCAGAAGAGGGCGCAGGTGTCCCGAGGGAGCCCTGGCACCGCGCCCCCCGCCCCGCACCCATGCCCGCACCGCGCCCAGCGGTCACCTTCTCGAACAGCAGATCGCTGAGCGACTGTGCGAACTCCCCGTCCTCCATGAGCAGGAAGTGTCGCAGCGCCTCGAAGTGCGCCTCCAGGCCCAGCTCCACGAAGAAGTAGTCCACGGCGGCCTTGTTCACCAAAGAGACGCTGGCAGGAGGGGCGGGGTCAGGAGCGGGGCCTGGTGGGGGCGGGGCCTTCTGGGAGCGAGGGGGCGGGGCCTTTCCGGGGGCGGGGCGTGCACTCACTGCGCGGCCAGCGGGGCAGTGATGGAGTGCTTCATGAGCACGGGCAGCGGCAGCAGCTCGCTCAGCTGCACCGCGGTCTCATCCGCATCTGACCGGACCCGGGGGTCCTCCGGGAGGGCGAAGGCGCGGGGAAGCCCGTGGTGTAGCAGGTGGGCGACAGGAGGCTCCGCTGTACGATGGCAGATTGCCGTTAAGAAGCGGGGACACACCGGCCCGGCTTCGGCCCGCCCACCCACCGCTGCGGCTGCCCACTCACACATGGCCTCGTAGCTGTCCGGGTACTGCTCCAGCCGGTACTCCTCTATCAGACCCGCCAGGTAGGCCTGCTCCCGGCCCCTGCGCTGGGCGGCCACCACCTCCTCACCAAGGCTGGGGCTGCCCTGGGCTGCCGCGCCTTCCTAGGAAGGAAAGGGTGGGGTGGGATCCCCTCCGTGCTGCCCCATCCTGGAGGGCCAAAGCCCTCACTGCCCATGCGAGGCCAGACCCCTCGCCACATCTGCCCTCACCTGTGAGCTTGGAGGGTGACCTAGAGAGAGGTCCTCAGTGTCCCCACTCGTCCCTGGTCCTGAGCAACACAAGTGGGGCAGGAGGGGGTATCAGGGCCAAGTGCCTCCTACAGGGTGATACCTCCCAAGTCCCCAGGGCTGCAGACTTCTTGCCCTTCCTCCTCGCCCACATCCTTCCCGGGCCCACAGTGCCACCAGTGATAGGACAGCTGTAGGGACCCCACTGACCTGGCTCCTCGGGGATACCATCTCCCAGATCCCGGGATGCAGCCACTGCAGACAGCGAAGCCTGGAGGCCACTCGCCTCCCCACTCCTGGAGCCAGCCTCCTGAGCACAGGAGCTGTCTGAGGCTGTCTCTGCAGGCAGCCGTGGCTCGTGCTCCCAGATAGGGCTCTGTGCTCCCAGGCTGAGGCCTGACTGGGACACATGGTCAGGGGGGCTCTGGCAGGGCCTGGGTATATCGGGCTGGCCTTCCCCAGAGAGTGCACCCAGTACCACATGGGACTGAGACGCATGTCCGTGGACGTTCCACCGTAGTCGGGAGGGGGCCACATCCCACACGTTCTCCCCCACCTTGATGTTGGCATCAGACACGTGTCCGTGGACGTTCCACCGTGGCCGCGAGGGGGCCACATCCCACACGTTCTCCCCCACCTTGATGCTGGCGTCAGACACGTGTCCGTGGACGTTCCACCGTGGCCGCGAGGGGGCCACATCCCACACGTTCTCCCCCACCTTGATGCTGGCGTCAGACACGTGTCCGTGGACATTCCACCGTGGCCGCGAGGGGGCCACATCCCACACGTTCTCCCCCACCTTGATGCTGGCGTCAGACACGTGTCCGTGGACGTTCCACCGTGGCCGTGAGGGGGCCACATCCCACACGTTCTCCCCCACCTTGATGCTGGCGTCAGACACGTGTCCGTGGACGTTCCACCGTGGCCGCGAGGGGGCCACATCCCACACGTTCTCCCCCACCTTGATGCTGGCGTCAGACACGTGTCCGTGGACGTTCCACCGTGGCCGCGAGGGGGCCACATCCCACACGTTCTCCCCCACCTTGATGCTGGCGTCAGATACGTGTCCGTGGACGTTCCACCGTGGCCGCGAGGGGGCCATCCCAGAAGCATAGCCCCCTGTGGGAACGCTGCCCTCTGACACATGCCCGAGGAGCTGCCCCATGGCCTGGCTACTCCCGTCCTGGGGGAGGGTGTACCCAGAGGGGTGGGGGTGAGGCAGAGCCACCTGCCTATCTGAGACACCTGTACCTTGTGGCCGCGTGACACTGTCCCCCCACAGCTGCTGCCCCTCATTACTCGAGCCGCCTCCTACAGTCTTCAGGGACCCTGGGGAAGCCAAGGGGGCTATAGCTGGCCTCAGGATGGTTCTGAAATCATACTCCGGTGGCCCAGAAGGCCCTGTGCCCACCACTTCGGATGGAGCCGAGGGAGGCAGGTCTGAGCCGATGGTGTGCAGCGCCTCCTCCAGGACAGGGGCCACGCCAGTGTGTGCAGGCAGCTCGGCCTCCCGAGCTGTGGGCAGGAAGTCTTGGATGCTGAGGCCCTCAGAGCACGGCTCTGGCCTGTCCACCAGCCCCGAGCCACGGGCCCCTGCTGCTGGAGGTGTGAGCTGCTGCAGCGTCCGTGCATTCGGGCAATCCCAGGCAACCACGTGCGGCTGTTCTGCATACCCAGAGTCAGAGCTGCTGCCTCCCGCCGAGTGGCCGGGGCCCGGAGACAAAGCCTGAGACACAAGTAGGTGTTGGTTCCCCAAGCTCAGTTCTGCAACTAGCACCAAGTCAGGCTCAGCAGCCACTGTGCTCCCAGGGCACCGCAAACCTAGGGCATCCAGCTCACAGCCCCATGCTCTGTGCCCTGAATCCTGCCCCCAGCCCCTCACCTGGGAACCGGCAGCAGGGAGGATGGAGAGTGGCTCCAGGGCCTTCCCTTCGGACGCGTCCTTCAGCATCCCCTAAAATTCAGGCAGCAGCAGTGAGCACCTAACCCCACACAATCCAACCCAGAGCTTCCGCACCCTCACGCAACACACAGAAGCCACAGCTCCTGACTGCCCACATGGGCCACAGCACTGAGGCAAGAAGAGCCTGGGCCTAGAGCGAGCACTCAGCACTGCCCACGTCATCCCAGGGCGGCATGGCCTCCTCCCAGTCCCGACATCCGAGCACTGAGTTACCAACCCTCTCCCAGAACCCAGGTCTGCGTGTACTCTCGGGCTCCGAGACCCCCGAAGCCCAGGGGGAAGAGCTCCCATCAGAAACCACGGTGATACCTGAATGAGCTTCTGATCTTCTACGAGGAAACGAAGCCGTGCACTTGCCAATCGGTGCCTCTGGATTTTCCACAGTGCCTTCTGCTCTCGACGAGCTGCTTCTGCAGACAACTTGCTATAATGGTCAACCAGTGCTTGCCTAAAGACACAGCCAGAGAGTCCCAGCTGCCACAGTCGCCCCACTCTGTGCAGCTGGCGCCCCGTGGGCTAGGATGGCTCTCCACAGCAGAGGCCCTCGGCACCTTCCCAGGCCAGCAGCTGGTCTGCATGAGGCCCCACAGCCCCTGCAGGGGCCTTGCCGGGCAGGTCTTTCTGCCCCCACCAGACCAGGACCCCAGCGGGCAGGCACCTAGCTGGGGCTCAGCAGATGTCTGCTGAGTAAATACCAGAACAAGCCCCCACACGACCCGAAGCAGGAGGACAGGCAGGAGGCCCGGGGCTGCCAGGCTCCCCGCACGAGAGGTGCCTTCCTGTTCTGCTGGGGCGGACTCCGGAGAACGAAGGGTAAATGTGAAAGGGGACACAGCACAACACAAGTGCTGCATGGGCTTCCCTGGCAGCTGTCCCTGCACGTCACTCCCAGTGGTTTTGGTCCTCTCGCCAGCGGGGAACTGGGTCCGACCTGGACTGGCTACTTCCCATTTGGCTGCCCCGGACCAGGGACACAGCCCCTACACCTCGCTGTCCCCTACAGAGGACAGAAGAACATCTACCCGCGCGCGCACGCCCACACACACGAGACACACCCTCCGAGAACAGCACGGAAGGTCAGCACAACTGGGATCCTGAGAGACAACAGGCAGGAAGACGCAGCCCCCCACCAAGGTGCCCCTGGGGGACCCCGACTCTGCTGCAGCTGACGGGAGACGGAGGGGAGGGCACCACAACAAGACAGCCTCCTGTTGGGTGCTGGGCTGGACGAATGCCCCCGTCTGTCCAGCGGTCGGGCTGATCACAGGTTTAAAAATTAGGGACAGGAGCTGCTGAACTTAGAAGAAACAAAGAGACGGAGAGGCGGGAGAGGCAAACCCAGCGTGCGCACCTTGTCTGGATTCCAGTCCACACTAACCAACCAGAAGAAGACGTTCTGAGGACAGGGAAGCACACCTGAGCGTGGGAAAATGGCCACACGCACTCCGCCCAGGTGCACGTTGGAGTTTGGACCCCTACTCTTCCTAGCTTAACACACGCTTGAAAAATCTCCAAAATAAAAAGACGACCATCACCAGACCCTGCCGGGAGGGTCAGCCCAGAGTGCCCACCTCGCCCGCAGCCGCCTACCTCGCCTTCCTCTCCAGCTGCTCCTCCAAGGCCCTCAGCCTCCTCTCCCTGTCGCGGAGCTCCCGCGCATAGCCCAAGTCGTCATCCAGAGCCTCCTGCCTGGCCGCCCGGCGCCGCTGCACAACGCACCACACGTGGTCTTGCAGGTTAGAGCTGGACTCCACAAGCCTGCACCCCCCCCCCGCCCCCCCTTCCCCCCGGCCGCACCACCTCTTGGTCCTTCACAAACTGCTCCTTCAGCCTCTGAAACTGCTCTCGCTTCCGGGCGTCCAAGGCCATGCGTTCCGACGTCTGCCGATCTATGTTGAGATGGGAGGGGGCGGCGTGATGAGAAGCCCGCAGCAGGTGACCCCAGAGCCCCAGAGGGCGACCCGAGCCACATGTACCGCTGAGCGCTCGCAGGACTCTGGACGCTGCTTCCCGGGCCTGGACAATCAATTCTTGTTTTGCAATTTCCATTCGTAATTCCTGAAAAAGATCATCTGTAAACACATCCCAACTCTCTGTCCCCTCCTCTAGGGCGGCCTGAAAGTGGGGGCTGCTCGGACCCCATGCAGGCCCCTCCAGGGGCAGCACCCTGGCTCAACAAGCCTAGGTAGTCAACACACTCTCCAAGCAGTTTGAGGCTGAGACCCCGGGCCTGCATGTGCCCACCCTGGAGGGGACCGGGAGCTTGGGGCGGGCTTCCCCACAGGGATGGAGGGCCAGCCCCTTCCCCGCATCCACCCCTACGTGTTCTATCAAGTCTCCCCCCGGGGGCCAGGCCAGAAATGGCTTTCCATCAGACCCCTCCCTGGGTACACAAAACACTCAAAGCTCAGGTCCTGGTACGCCGGCCCCTTCCGAGCAGGAGAGGAGCTCACAGGGGCCACAAAGTGCAGGAACCTCCCATCCTGCTGCCCAGGACTGGGCGGGTCTCCCGCCCAGCCAGCCCCAGAGAAGAGAGGACAGAGCCCTGACCAGGCGTCCCCCACCCAGATACCCTCCCGGACAGAGAACATCAGGGCAGCCTCCCCACTGGCCCAAGACCCTTAGAGGGGAGGGAGGTGCACGGAAAGCCCCCAGGCCCACAGCGCCCGACACCTTGTCCTCCTTGCTGATGGAGCTGTGGCGCGCTACCCTCTCCATCCGCCCCACGTAGATGGCACAGTCCCTCTCCACCTCCTTCAACTCCTCAGGGGAGAAAATCACTGAGATCCGAGGGACGGGGACGTCAGACCAGTAGAGGTGATGCTACCAGGGAGGGAAAGCTGAAGTGAGCCAGTGCCATGCAGGCCCGTGCCCAGCTCCGCCTCTGCTCCTGCTGACCCATGGGGACAGCTCCCTTTCTCAGAAACATTCATTCACTGGAGGGGCATGGCTCCAAGGACATCCCAGATGGGTTGTGCAGCGTCTCTGCCCAGGCCAAGGCTGCCTTCCACCAGCGACTCTCCAGAAGCTGTGAGGACCTCTCCTCAGCCTCCCTCACTGGAGGCGCGTGGGCTACAGGCCCGGGGTCAGCCTGCACAGAACGGACCCCGCTGCTGGCCACCCCTCCCCCAGGGAGCCCCAGCCTTCAAGCTCCCCAGCATCTGGCCCCTCCCCATGTCCTGACAGCTCCAGCGTGTTCTCAGCCCAGCACAGGAGGAACCCTGTCAGCCACAGGCTGAGCCTCCTGGCCCCTCCCCAGCCCCGGCCCGGGCAGCCCCACCTGCCCCCCTGCTCTACAGGGCTTCACACCATGGATGGCATGTGGGCCGCTGCCAGGCCTCCCCCACAACCCTCCAAACCACGAGACACGACTCCCTAAACCAGCCTGGGTCCATCTTGCTGTGGATGCGGCCCATAACTGTCCCACTGGGGCAGTTTCCCTCGTGGAGAGAGGGAAGGAGCCCACCACCCCTCGGTCTCTGAAATGCCTTTGCTTTTCATCCTGTCTTTGGACAAGCTCCCAGAAACTCGATGGAGCTGCTGTGACACTCAGGAGGAAATGAGAGGTCACCACACACTACAGACAGATGGCCAGGTCTCAGGGGACAGGGAACAAGAGCAGGACAAGAAGGGATGGGAGGGCGGGCTCTCTCCTCACCCGGGGGCAGCAGAGTTTCAGCAAATTAATGGTCTTCCCGCAGACGTACACATCGTGGGCGATGTGCTTCAAGAACACAGGGACGCAGTCCTCCACCTCTTTGGAAATGAGCACATAGCCGTGGGTCCAGTAAAACTTATCTGAATGGGGGACAGAACACATGGTTGGCCAGCGTCCAGCACTAGCCCCGACCCACCTGATGGCAGAGGCCCGGCCTAGGAGCCAGCAGCCACCTACCTCTGAAGCCCAGGTACTCGTGGTTCACCTGGATCATGAATTCGCCATAAACGTCTCTGAAGACCCCACTGTACACCCAGTCATGGATGAACCTGCCAGGGTGGACAGACCAGCCATGACGGGGCATGGCGGCCATGGGGGTGGTCCGCCAATGTGCCCACAGTCCAAGCCCAGCTGCGCTACTCCCCCCTCCTCCCACACAACCCCCACCCTTAGGAGGTGTGTGACAAAAGGCTGCTGTCCTATGTCAGCGCGGGATGCGCGGTCTGTGCAGGGTGCGCCGGGGAGCGCGGAGTATGCGGGGTGCACAGGGTGTGCAGGGTATACGGGGTGCGCGGGGTGTGCAGGGTATGCGGGTTGCGCGGTCTGCACGGGGTGCGCGGATGGCGCAGGGCGCACGGGCCCCACCTCGTATAGGGCTCACAGCTGGTCTTCAGCAGGGATAGCAGCACTGGGTAGTTCTCGTTGCTGCAATTATCGAGAGCCTCCTGGTACAGGTAGGAGAGCAGCTTCACCCCCTGGAGACAGCAAGGGGAGGGGCTTCAGGGCAGTACCACACGCGGCCAACGCCCAGCAGCAGCCCCACCAACGGGGCGACACTCAGGGAGAACCCAGAACTCACGGTGGGGAATGCAGCCTTGGGTTCTCCGCCCCCACTACCTGGGAGTGCAGTGCCAACGCCACAGAGCTCAGCCAAGTACCTAGACACAGAGGCTGTGTGAGACCAGGGAGCAGACACTCAGAGTCCCCAGGTCCAGTGACACCAGAGCAAAATGTCTCCCAGGCCCATCTCTGCCTGCCTTCATGCTCCAGGTTTAAAAGCACCCGGACTTCAAGGACTCCAGATATGAGCTTCCTGCCTGGTCCCTCCCTGCACACCCTGTGCATCTCCACCCCCTTCTCAGGTTCGGACAAGACTCAGAACCACCCTGAGTGCATGACCCTTCCCCCGCCCCCACAGCACCCCGCCACCTCACGCAGGGTGACACCTCCTCTGCCTGGATGACCGCCCAGACCCCGCCCAGACCCCCCACCCTCTCTGCCCTGCTGCAGTCTACATCCACATGGCAGCACAGTGCCCCTGCCCCAGCACCCTCCAGGCGCCCCCAGACTCTTGCCACCCCCACTGCACCCCACCTCCAGCCTTTCTGCCCGCGAGGTTTCCTCTCCCGCTGAACCCTTCTCCCCAGCCCCTCATGCTCCCTTCTCCAGAGGGCACCTGCCACACCACTCCGCCTGGTGTTTACGAACTGGCCAGGAGTGCCAGGAGCCAGGTCTGTGGAGACCCTGTGTGCCCTTCAGGGAGGTGCCCCCAACCCTAGACGGGGCCTGCCACGGTAGGCCACCAACAGATACACAGCACACAGCACCCAGGGAGCCCACCGGGGGCAAGGGCTCCTGTTCTCACAAGCCCTTTGCGGCCCAGCCAGTCCCACACCTGCCTCCACACGGCCCCCATACTCGGCCCCCATGCCAAGGCTCACCTGAGCTGCCGGCCCAGTTTCTTGAAAAGAAAGCCAATGGTGAGGAGGCTCAGGGTGGGTGGAGTGGAGAGCACACAGGCACGGTAATACTGCAGGTACTTCCTCAGGCCGCTGGTGAAGGCCTATTGGGCAACAAGCCTGGGAGGGGGGCGGCCGGGTACAAGGGCACGGCCGCTAAGCTCAGAACTTAAAGGATACACTGGAGCTGGGGGAAAAGGCTTGGCTCCCATCCCCAACCCTGGGGCTCCGTCTTCCAAGGAATGGGCATGGATGGGTCATGCCCAGGCACCCCAGCCCAGCTGGAAGAAAGGACCCTTCACGGAACCCCAGGGCCCAGACCAGCTACACCAGGAAACTGGGAACTGCAGGTCCCAGGGGGAGTTCTGGAAGGGGTAGCCAGGCTCTGCATGCAGGTGCCAACTCTGAGAGGGTCTCTGGCCGCTCAAACCACTGGGCTCTTGGCAACACATGCGTCCTGGGCTGCACCGCAGCAGGAGGTCTGCACGGAACGCTCCAGAACAAAAGTCAATCCACCCACCAGCCACGTCCTCAACCCACATGGCAGTCCCTTCCATCTTCGTCAGTTTCCTCCTTGCCTCCATGGGCCCGGCCTGCACCGTCTCAAACCTGAACCTCATCAGCCGACAGCACTGCCACAGGGCCACGAGATGAAGGAACCCGTGCCGCCCAGCCCCCGGTGGGCCCCAGCACCCTGCCTCCTCTGCTCAGCCTCCCTGCTGCTCTTCTCTCAGTTCTCCCCAAACGCCCTGCTCCATCTGGACGCCTGCCCCTCCCAGCAGGCCGCACCTGCTGTCCCAGGGGGACTCTGCCCAGCATATGGGCCGACTGTAAGGTCCTCCAGAAGAGCTGGCTCAGCCCCGGGGCCTAGAACTTTAACACCCCAAATTAGGGAGGACGCCGTGTCAGTTGCTGTGCAACTCCCTGAGGACCCAGCAGGGAGCAGGCAGCACATGCCTACCCCATACCGCCCAGCCCCCGCCCCAGAATGCTGGCCACACCTCTATCCCATGGCCTAAACACGGCTGCCCAGGTCTGCAGTTAAGTGACAGTGGAGCTAAAACATCATCCCTAGGGAATTTGTTCCAGAAGAGTGACTGTCAGCTTTTAGACACTGCTAAGGAAACAAAAGGCTTGCACTCAGTGGTCTTGGAGTAGAATCTGAGGCTCCCAGGAAGGTCTGGGATAGCCACGAGGTGGAGGGCCATACCTGGAACACAAGGCCCTTGCTGCACGAGGAGTCCAGCACAGGCTGCAGAGAGAACTGGCTCAGGCGTGCGTAGTGTGTCCCCCACTCGCCCACCTCTGAGAGGAGACTGCTGACGCTCTCGGGGGAGGCTCCTGATACGTGGACACCCTGCTTCACCACGAAGGTCTGAGCTGGCTGGACAGGGCAGAGGAGAGGCTACTGAGTCAGGCACCCAGAGCCCAACATGGTACTGTTGCCCCCTTCCACTCTCTCAGCACGGCACAGGGTGTCCCAAGACTGGGTGCCCCAAACCAAGACACACACACAGGAAGCGCCAAGAGCAGAGAGAGCAGACGCCACAAAGCAGAGCCTGACCGTCCCACCCTCAACAATAAAAACACACATGCAGAAACAACAAAGTATGAGTTTTTACGGACCACACTGAAAAATAATACATATCTGAAACGTCAAGCCAATTGTGGATGCAGGTGCAGGAAGACACACGGCCTCCCACACTACCCGAGAAGGGCACACACAACACCTAAAGGGGTGTCATTAGATCTGACCACTGGACTTGCAGGGACGCATCCAGAGGAGACAACAGATGGCTGCTGCCGAGCTGTGTCCTGGAATCACAGGGAGAGCCGCGAAGGCTGGCCTGCTCCAGCTCTGGCACGGCAGGCAGGGAAGGCCAACAGACAAGCCCCAGGCGTCCCAGCCAACAGCCTATCAACAAGCTCCCACAGACACAATACCTCCCAACAGATTAAGATGGTAAATGTTTTGTGTATCTTATTGCAATTTAAAGAAACCTTTAAAAAAACAAAAAACCCTCCCAACAAAGAAAAGCTCAGGACCAGATGGCATTACCAGTGAATTCTACCAAACAATTAAAGAACTAACACCAATTGTTCTCAAACTCTTCCAAAACCCGAAAAGGAGGGAATACCTCCTAATTCTAAGAGGCCAGTATTGCCCTGATTCCAAAGCAAGATAAAGACACTATAAGGAGGGAAAACTATAGGCCAACTTCTCTTATGAACGTAAATGTAAAAATCTCTGATAAAGTACTAACAAATCAGGGGCGCCTGGTGGCTCAGTCGGTTAAGCATCTGACTCTTGGTTTCGGCTCAGGTTGTGATCTCAGGGTCATGGGATGGAGCCCCCCATGGGGCTCCGTGCTGGGTGTGGAGTCTGCTTGAGGATTCTCTACCTCTCCCCTGCCACCCCCCCAAATAAATAAATAAATCTGAAAAAGAAAACACTAACAAATCAAATCCAGCAGCATGTTAAAAAGGGTGGCTCGGCATACAAAAATCAATCAATTCGGTCTTTGCCGAGGGTCACACTGACCCGCGAGCTGCTTCGGGGGAGTCTTTAGTAGGAGTCAGTACCATGGATCAAGACCGAAGTCCAGAACTACCAGACTGCCCGGCAGCCAGCCGCTTCCCCAGCCAGAGGCAGAGCGGGAGCCACTGGAAGAACTACGCAGACCTCATGAGACCAGCACCTGTACGTGTCCCGCAGACCCATATCCTGGGTGTCAGCCCGGAACCACCACCGGGCAGAAGGCACGTTTCCTGGGAAGATCTCAACTGGCTCCACCCGCCTCTCCTCTGTCCTCCATCCTTCTCCTGCCTGTGTGCCAGCTGATCCCCACCCTGGGATCCTGTAATAACAAATACTCACTGGAGAAGTGAAAAAAAAAAAATCAATCAATGCGATAAGCCACATTAATAGAATGAAGAAAAAATAGGGTTCTCTTAATTGGTGCAAAGAAAGCATCTGACAAATTCCAACACACTTCCATGATAAAAACACTCAATAGGTTAGAGAATATAGGGAACCTCCTCAACATGATAAAACCCATGTATGACAAAGCCACAGCTAACATTACACTCCACCGTAAAAGACTGAAAGATTTTCCCCTAGGACAAAGAAGGAGGCAGGAATGTCTGCTTTCACCACTTCTGTTTAAAACAGCACTGGAGGGGCACCGGGAGGTGGAGGGAGGCTCAGTCGGTTAAGTGTCCAACTCTTGATTTTGGCTCAGGTCATGATCTCAGGGTCTTGGGATGGAGCCTGGTGGTCAGGCTCTGCGCTCAGCAGGGAGTCTGCCTGGGATTCTCTGCCTCTTCCTCTGCCCCTCCCCCTGCTCACATGCTCTAAAATAAATAAATCTTAAAAAAAAAAAAAGAACCAAAATAACCTTGAAAAAGAAGAAAAATATTGGAAGACTCACTTCCCAAGTTCAAAATTTATTTATATTTATTTTAAAGATTTTATTTATTTATTTGAGAGAGAGAGGAGCGAGCACAAGCAGGGGGAGCAGCAGAGGGAGAGGGAGAAGCAGGCTTCCCGCGGAGCAGGGAGCCCGATGCGGGGCTCGATCCCAGGACCCTGGGACCATGACCTGAGCTGAAGGCAGATGCTTAA